AAGACTCATTAACAACCTGCAATATGCAGATGACACAACCTTGCTTGCTGAAAGTGAAGAGGACTTGAAGCACTTACTGATGAAGATCAGAGACAACAGCCTTCAGTATGGATTACACCTCAACATAAAACAAAAATCCTCCCAAGTGGGCCAATAAGCAACATCATGATAAACGGAGAAAAGATTGAAGTTGTCAAGGATTTCGTTTTACTTGGATCAACACCCATGGAAGTAGCAGTCAAGAAATCAAAGGATGCATTGCATTGGGCAAATCTGCTGTAACAGACCTCTTTAAAGTGTTAAAAACCAAAGATGTGACCCAAGCCAAGGTGTTTTCAATCGCCTCGTATGCATACAAAAGCTGAACAATGAATAAGGAAGACAGAAGAAGAGTTGACACCTTTGAATTATGGTGTTGGCAAAGAATACTGAATATAACATGGACTGCCCAAAGAATACACCTTGGAGCCCTGGTGGTGAAGTGGTTAAGAGCTACAGCTGCTAACCAAAATGTTGGCAGTTCGAATCCACCAGCTGCTCCTTGGAAACCCTATGGGGCAGTTCTACTCTGTCTTACAAGGTTGCTATGAGTTAGAATTGACTTGATGGCAACAGGTTTTTGGAAACCCTGGTGGTGTAGTGATTAAGAGCTATGGCTGCTAACCAAAATGTTGGCAGTTTGAATCCCCCAGGCACTCCTTGGAAACCCTATGGGGCAGTTCTACTCTGTCCTATAGGGTCGCTATGAGTTGGAATTGACTCGATGGCAGTGGGCTTGGTTTTCTGGTTTGGGCCTGAAGAACAAACAAATCTATCTTGGAAGAAGTACAGCCAGAATGCTCCTTAGAACCAAGGATGGCGAGACTTCATCTCACATGCTTTGGACATGTTATCAGGAGGGATCAGTCCCTGGAAAAGGACATCATGGTTAGCAAAGTAGAGGGTCAGCAAAAAAGAGGCAGCTTCTCAGTGAAAGGGATAGACACAGTGGCTGCAATGATGGCCTCAAGCATAACAACGATTGTGAGGATGGCACAGGATCTGGCAGTGTTTTGTTCTGTTGTACACAGGGGTCGCTATGAGTCAGAACCGACTTGACATCTGACAACACAACAGACCATTTGAATTACAAGCCATCTCTTTAAATTAGGTTAATCCTATCTAGGATTAGGATTTATAGGTTAATCCTACCTAGTATAAACACCTCAAAGGAAAATGTGTTTTGTGACTAAGAGCCTTTACCAATTTTTCCCTAGACTGCAGTCATGACTTCCCAGCTGGTCTTGTCCAGGGACAGTGTCTCTCCTTTCCCAGCCATCTTCTGACCTGCTTCCTGCATTATCTTTCTAAAGCACATATCTGGGCATGTCTCTTGCTTAAAATAATCCAAGGATAGATAATAAAATCCAAACGGCTGAGAATGAGATTCTAGGGTAGTGCTGTTCATTGGAAAGATATGCAAGCCACATATGTAATGGAACGTTTTCAAGAAGTCCTATTAAAAATAAGTAAAGAGAAACAGGTGAAATGAATTTTAATATTTTATTTAACCCAGTATATCCAAAATCTTATCAATTCAATATGTAATCAGTATAAAAATATTAATGAGATAGTTTACATTCTTTTTCTTTTGGCCCTAAATCTGCAAAACCTTGGGCTAGTTTTTTAACTTTGTGAGACTCAGTTACCTCATCTGTAAAAGGAAAATAATACTTCATAGGTTTATGGAAGATGAAAATGTGGTAACTCACATGAAGCCCATTGTAATAGTTTCCTATTGCTATTGTAACAAATTACCACAAACTTTAATGACTTAAAGTAACATCAACTTATTATTGTATAGTCTGGAGGTCAGGAGGTTGACACAGGATAAAATCAAGGTGTTGGCAGGGCTACGTTCCTTCTGGAAGCCCTAGGAAAGAATCTGTTTCCTTGCCTTTTGCAGCTTTTAGAGGCTGCCGCATTCCTTGGCTCATGGTCCCTTCCTCCATCTTCAAAGCCAGCAGAGTAGCATCTTTTGAGTCTCTATCTCTGACCTCTACTTCTGTCATCACATTTCCTTCTCTGACTCTAGTCCTTCTGCCTCCCTCTTTCCCTTATAAGGACCCTTGTGATTACATTGGACTCATCTGGCTAATCCAGGAGCGTCTTGCATTGTTAATTAAGAGCCTTAACTTAATCCTATCTGCAAAATCCCTTTGCCATTTTAGGTAATGTATTCACATGTCCTGGAGATTAGGACGTGGACTCTTTTGGGGGGCCATTATTCTGCTACCACGCCCATGCATTAGCACAGTGCTTGGCCACTGTCAGCTCTCAATAACTGTTATCTTTTATTATTATAAACCTTGATTGTAGGTTTTAATCACACTGGATTATTTACGTGTCTCCGTATTCCTGTTCTGAGAACGCCCCACCCCAGCACCTAGCACAGCGTGCTGCATGTTTGCCCACTCACTCATGCTTCATTATCAAGCAGCTTCTGTAGGGCATGAGTTCTAAGCAACTGGGAGTACAGTTCCCACCCTCACGAGAGGACACTGTCAAGGGGGTTTATGGAACAGGTGCTCATATATTTATTAAATGAATTAATCAAACAGCTTACTTACACTTCTGAGGAACACATCAGTGCCTTAGTTCTCCAAATGGTCTTTCTCATTTTTGCCTGTCAAAATTTACTCATCCTTCAAGATTAGGCTCAAATACGTGAACTTGCTGCTTCTGAGAAAATGGACACTGTAAGTTATGACTGGACATGTTTTTTGTCTTGCTTTGTTAGCTAAGAAGCTTAGTTTGAAGTTGGTGGCTTATCTTTGGCAGCTATGTAAGACTGTATGGTTACTTACTGGACACTGATGTCTAACCTTGGCTTTCATTTATTTATTTTTTATAATTTCTCTTCATTGTAACTTCCTCCAGTATTTATCTTTTATAGTCTACGTATTTTTCCTAAGCCACCTGAAGTCATTTGAGTAATGAAGTGACTCTAACTAGTTACATAAAATGTCTTATTCTCCTGTGTCAGTTCAGGTCCTCTAGGAAGCAGATGCCAGGATGCATGAAATCTGCAAAAAGTGGATGTAAGAAACTTCTTAGGGGTAGTAACTATGACCGGTTAAAGGGTGAGGCAGCAGGAGAAGGGAGGGCGAGACTTTGGACTACAATGCAGGTTTGATATCTCTGAAAAAAAAAAAAAAAAGGACGGTTGGGTGCTCGGTCACTTGGGATCAAATTCTGTGGTGGATCTCAAAGAAGCTGCAGCTGGAGGCTGTCCGCTCATAGTGCTCCTTGTGGTTGGGTCTCCCCTGAAGAAGAGCTGAGCAGCTGCTGCTCCTCCCAGCTATACTGAACACTCCTTGAGGCGAATAGTGTCTTCTTCACTTCTGTCACCTTGCCCATATTGCAAATGCCCGGGGACTATTTCATATGTTACTTGTGTCATAGAACCAGTGAGTAATGTAAGAATAACAGTAGGATGCGCTTTGGAGACAGAAAGACCAGGATTCACATCTTAGGTTTTTTCAGCCAAATACAGTTGGAATCTAGTTCAAATCATTTAACTTCTCTAAGTTTTTAAAGTTTTTGCTAAAATGAGATCAGTAATGCTTTACACTACAAGGTTGTTGGGAGAATTAAATAAATGGCCTAATCCCGTGTCTGTCATCCAGTGTTGAATAGATGTTCTTTCCTTTGCTCTTCACTTTTGAATACTTTATTGTGGGACAAATCACTTCTGTAAATACTGTGTCATTTGATAAAGATTAAAAAAACCCAAAACAAACCAAACCCGTTGCCATTGAGTCAATTCTGACTCATAGCAACCCTACAAGACAGGGTAGAACTGACCTATTCGGTTTCCAAGAAGCAGCTGGTGGATTCGAACTGCTGACCTTTTGGTTAGCAGCCAAGCTCTTAACCACTGTGCCACCAGGGCTCCCCAGTAGAGATTTAAAAAAAAAAAAAACCCAAAAACAAACAAACCTGTTGCCATCTAGTCGATTCTGATGCATAGGAACCATATTATTATTTCCAAGAAATTGAGACTAAGAAAGGGTAAATGGCTGATTCAGGATCACATAGCCAAAAAAGAGGCAGAATCAGAACTTGAACTCAAGTCTTCTAGCTTTAGTTTCAGTTCAAACAGCTGCTGGTTAATAAGATGGAGTTTGATTGATTTCCCAAATGTTGTTCTCTGTCCTTGCCGCGCGCGCACACGCGCACACACGCGCACACACGCACCCCCCCCCCCACACACACATCTTCTACCAATATTTAATTCCAACATTGAACCTCATTACTACTCTTATTTTCCCTAAGAGTTACGAAAGTTATGATTGTGCTGTGTTACTAAATTTCTTTCCAAGGAATATTAGATAGATGTTTAGACCTTAAAGGTATTTAAATTTTGTTTCTCAAACAACACCTTACACAACTGTTAGACTTTATCACTGTATAAAAATGTACAGTGGTTTTATTGACATGTACATTCCAATATGTTTACAGTTGCAAGATAATGAGGCACACTCAGTATTGCACTTCATTAAAATTTCAGGCTCAAACTTAACCTAGAAGTTTAAATGAAATTGCATTTGTAATTTAGTAATTCTTATACAGGACAAACATTGATATCTTTATGTACAGTGTGATACTTATTACATTTATATGCCGCCTTACACAATTTTTTATTTTTTTTTAAATAACAGTCTAGGAAATAAACGAGAATATTCCTTTTTTTAATCCCCACTCTTGATGCAATTGTACAGGGTTACAAAAAGGCAGTATACAATAACAATGATTATTTTTCTTTTTTTGCTTTTAAGCATCATTCTTAGTCTGTGGGCATGGTGATTCTTTTGTATCAATTATCTATAAATGTCCAATGCTTCACAGCCAATGACGGTAATGGCCACATGCAAACACCTCACAAATTGGATGTCTTGGTTCAAAAAGAAGATGAAACAAAGTAATGGGGAAACTTTCCACAGCAAGAATTATGTACATGGTATTTGGCATCTTCTTGCATTGTAAATGGTTCATTTTCATGGATGTAAAAATGGTCCCGTCCTTATCCTGAGCAGAGTTTAAACTTCACCACATCCTCTTGGGGGATGAAGGCAACTTTTCTCTCTGTAGACAAAGGAATCTGAGTGTTCTAAAAAGTGTGAGCATTTCTGCACACTCCACAACCCAGAGCAAACTCTTCCCCAGTAGGTGGATGAACAACATGGAGTGGGCATTCAGTTCCTTCTAGCTGTTTGCCTTTGGGACCTATGTAAGTTTTGAAGGAAGCAAAAGAACACAATTAAAAACAAACAAAACCCCACACATACATACCCCATATATATCACTGACAAGTTAGTCAAAGAAACAATATGACTATGGTCATGCAAATATAATAAAAAACCAAAAAACCAAACCCATTGCTGTTGAGTCCATTTTGACTCATAGCAACCCTTTAGGACAGAGTAGAACTGCCCCACTGAGTTTCCAAGAGGCGCCTAGTGGATGTGAACTGCTGACCTTTTGGTCAGCAGACGTAGCTCTTAACTACTACGCCACCAGGGTTTCCGAAATACAGTACTAATTATAAATTTAAATACAACATAAAAAAATTATTTTAGCCACAAAAGTAAAGAAAGTTTATCATAAAACATTAACGTAACAGACACATATAATTGAGAAAGTCACACAGTCCTTTACCCACAACATCCTACCTAGAGATAATCACTATGATCTACAGATCTTTTTCTATTAATAAATGAATTAGACATTGTGTTTTAAAGCAAAGAGCAATGAACAAAATGGTCACAAAATTTCCTCAATTCTGTCTAGCAGAAAATTCTTCTGGATAAGAAACATGGAGATTTTTATAAAGAATGTTTTTAAAAGCTGAAAATAAATTTAAGTGTAAATAAGCCATGTTACCCTTCTACCTTATCTAAAGAAAAAAACACACATTGGTAAAATGGGAAGACTGATTATTAGTGTCATTTTAAAAAGTGAAGGGAGGTTAGTAGGAAAACAAAAATTAATCAGCTTAAAATATGAATAAGATAAAATATAATAATTTGGAAGAAATACTTTGGAGAAAATATAAATTTATAGGTAATTATCAAATACATTAGGTTTATAAAATGTACAAAAATTGAACTATCTCTTTTTTAAAAAAGAAACCTGTTATGCTAATATGCTTCATGCCATGTGTTTCACGATATTTAAAAAGGATTTTTAGCTCCTTTATAAATAATCTGCTTTAGTAAGTAGGGAATACAGGTTGAGCTTATACCTGAATGCAGAGTTCCTATTTAACAGCAGAGGGAGGAACAGGAACTATGCATTAGTTTCCTATGGCTAGTTTCCAAAATAATAAAGGTAAAATGTGATTTTGTTTGAGAGAGAAATTCCATGAGATTGGATAGAACAGGCTTATGCTGATCAATGGGGAATGAGATCTCATTTTATTTACCTCTTCTAGATTTGAAAACTTTTCTGACACAGAAGGAAAACATGAGGAATAAAAAAGCTAGGGTTTGCAAAACATTTAGCCTGGCACAGCATAAATACTCAGTAAATGTTAGTGATTATTACTATAACTGAACAACAACAACGAACTGAGGCCTGACACAGAGGAATAAAAAGTAAGTTCCATATTCCATATAACAGTAAAACCAAGTCATGGGGGTTAAGTATCAAATCGAAGACACTAACCTCAGAAAGAGAAGTCAACTGCTGGTTTAAGCTGACACAAGAGTGTCGGTGAGTGCTACCTCAAGCAAATGTAGGTACATGGCCCCAGGATGGGTCAAGATGGCCGTATACCAGAGGTTTGTTTGAAAGTTAATTATTACTGTTAAAAATTATAAAGCAGAGCAGTATCTCCCACCTGAAATCACACTGCATACTGATATTCTGTCTGCCTCATTACTGGGTCAGGGAGAGGGGCGGGAGGTAGGACACGCAATGGCAGATTTAATTCAATCACGTACACGACACCATTAGTGGTGGCTCATACCAACAGTAGGCATATGATCCTTGGGTGGTTTTTGCAGTATAAAATAAAGGGTCATTTATTCAACAAATATTTACTGAGTGCCTAATGGGTGAACGATATTATGTTAGGTGCTGGGAATGTAAAGATGAATAGTACATGGCCCCTATCTTCAAGAAGTTCAAAATCTAACATGATAGTAAAAAATAATAATAGCTAAAAAAAAAAAAAAAAAAAAAAACAAACAAACATTTGAGTGTTTATTATTTTTTTAAGATATTTGTTTTATTGTGGTAAAAATATATATAACAAAACCTTTTCCAATTCAACAATTTCTATGTGTACAATTCAGTGACAATGATTACATTGATTATGTTGTGTAACCATCACCACTATCCTTTTCCAAATTATTCTGCCACCATTAATCTAGTCTTTACTATTGAGACCTTGTCCCAGCATATTAGTTCAATCTTTTAATAGTCATAGGAGGAGGAAACTATTCTTATTTTGCAGATGAGGAAACTAAGGCAAAATTAACTTACTTTGACTGATTCCTAAATCTCTCATCTGTTAATTAGGCATAGCAATACTAACTCACAAAGTGCTGTGAAAATTAAGTATCCTGGCCCCAAGAAGGCAGTCAATAAATATTTTAGAAAGAAATGGACAGACCATGGAGGGATTATCTACTTCAACTCCTTAATCTGGACTCCTGTCCTCATCCATATATTAAAGGTTAGAGCTAATGGGGTTGACAATGGTTGCAGAATCAATCCTTCTGTCCTTCTGAGTAAACCACATGGCCATCTTCCCTACTCATATCATTGTGGGGTCTCCTTTAATCAGGCTCCAGTTCTCTAAATGAATGGATGAGTCAGAGAAATGTGTGAGGCTGGGAGACAGTACCTCAATCTAAATGTATGATCTTAGGCCAGTTATTTAACCTCTTGGGGCCTTGATTGTGCCTTTGTGAACATGGGGATAATGCCATCTACCTTGTAGGTTGTTGTAAAAATTAAGTGAGAAAATATATGTGAAAATGCCCAGGATCAATGTCAGTTCCTTCCTTCTGCCAACTTTCTAACTCTCTTCCTGCCCCATTTCTGTGATTCACAATTTTTTTTTTTAAATTGTACTTTAGGTAGAAGTTTACTGAACAAAGTAGCTTCTCATTAAACAGTTAGTACACATATTGTTTTATGACATTGGTTAACAACCCCACGACATGCCAACACTCTCTCTTCTTGACCCTGGGTTCCCTATTACCAACTTTCCTGTCCCCTCCAGCCTTCTAGTCCTTGCCCCTGGACTGTTGTACCCCTTTAGTCTCATTTTGTTTTATGGGCCTGTCTAATCTTTGGCTGAAGGGTGAACCTCAGGAGTGACCTCGTTACTGAGCTAAAAGGCTATCTGGGGGGCCACAGTCTTGGGGTTTTTCCAGTCTCAGTCAGGCCAGTAAGTTTGGTCTTTTTTGTAAGTTAGAATTTTGTTCTACATTTTTCTCCAGCTCTGTCTAGGACCCTCTATTGTGATCACTGTCTTGTCCCTTGTGTCTTTAGTTTTCTTCATTCTCCCTTGCTGAAGGGGTGAGATCAGTGCAGTATCTTAGATGGGCTGCTTACAGGCTTTTAAGACCCCAGATGCTACTCACCAAAGTAGAATGTATAACATTTTCTTTAAAAGCTATGTTATGCCAGTTGAGCTAGATGTTCCCTGAGACCATCATCCCCACAGCCCTCAGCCCAGTTAATTCAGTCCCTCTGGGAGTCTGGATGTCTATGGAGCTTCCATGACCTTGCCTTGTACAAGTTGTGCTGGTTTCCCCAGTATTCATGACTGTCTTTTTGAAGTACAAACTCTTTCTGTTGGCTGACAGGGATGATCATGTGAATGTGAGAGGGAGAAGCCTTGCCTTTGCCTCTCTTTCCCAGCCCCACCCTTACCACTGTGTTCTCTGAAACATTTGATTGATTGCTAACTTCTCTATTTTTTTTTTAATAAAATATAGAAGAAATTTTTTTCACTGAGTAAAATTTGGATTTTCCCTAGTGACACTGCATCTAAACTTGCTCAGCTAGTGGTTGGGCACTTCTTAATCTCCTCTATGTCTTTGGGCCAGGAAGCACGATTAACTGTCTCCTGCTCATTTATTTCCAGACCACTCAGCCACAACTTTCATTCAATAATCCCTCTTCCTTCAAGGCTCCAATCACCTAGTGCACTGTCCGCTTCTCGCCGCCTCCATTTACTGACCTCCAGGTCACAGCCCCTCCACCCAAGCACTACTCACATCTCTCTTCTGGCCGTTACCCTAAACAGTCTAGCCTCACATCACTCTCACCTTGAATGCAGAGTTCCTATTTAACAGTAGAGGGAGGAATAGGAACTATGCATTAATTGAAAGCCTGTGATTTCTACTTTAAAAAAAAAAGTTTTTGTTTTTTTTTTTTTGGATAGGAGCATGTAACAATTTTTATTTAGCATGAGCAAATGGCAAAAAGTACCATACTTAAAACACAAAACAAAAACAAAACCCTATGTATCTTATCTTTATTTTTGAAAAGATAATATATTCCACATGATTAAAAAAATCAAAATGATAAAAAATGACATCTAGTAAGAAGTCACCCTCTCCCCATCTCTATGCCCATTCTCTTCCTGTCTTCCCCAATAGTCAATTTTATTCGTTTCTTATCTATCTTTCCAGTTCCTTCATGCAAATATACGAGTATATGTTCTAATTTTTTTCCCTTTTTTACAAAAGGTAGCATGCTATATACACTGTCCTGTAATTTGCCATTTTCATTTAGCACTATCTCCTGGAGATCTTTCCCTATCAGTACATAGAAACTCCATCCTCATTCTTCTTTTAATGGTGAATAGTATTTAGCCATTTCCCTATTGCATACTTGTATTGTTTACAGTCTTTTATTATTATAAGCAGTGCTGCAATGAATAACTTTGTATATTTGTTCTCTGTTAAAATTCTCCTCACATGTCTACCTGTATCCCCAGAAGTGAGACTGCTAAAGGGTAAATGTATTTGTAATTTTGACTGGCACTGTCAAACTGCTTTCCATAAGGTTATATACCATTTACACTCACAAGCAGTGGATAAGGGCATCTGTTTCACAGCTTTAGTAACACTGTATATGGGGTTGTATGTACTCTTGCGTGTATTTTCACTAACTGTAGATACATCTCATGTATATCTCAGATACATTCTCCTCTATGGTCATGTTTACTTCTCCTTCCACTTGCCCTGCTCCTGTTAAGCCTCGTTCCCACCTCATCATGATCATCAGTTTCTGACTGCTTCTAATTTTTTTAGTCTCTAGTTTTTATTCCTTTCTCCTCAGTCTGACCTCCACAGAGAGTCACTCCCCCATGCTCTCAGGGCATCTTTAGTTCACTTGGCTGTCTGATGCTCACTACGCTGCCAACTGCTCATCATTCTAGAGCAAATTACTTGTCCACTTTACGGCACAGTTCTAGGCTTCTTTAAGAGGAAAAAAAAAAAAAATCAAAAACTCCTCCTAAATTGTTCTACTATTAATTTATGATTTCAAATTTCACATGGCCATTTAGTGCTGAACAGTGATCCTGTTACTAATCTTTAGTTGACTTTGTTCTCATTCCCCAAAAGATCTGCTCCAGTATAGCTCCTAACCCTTCGCTCACGATGATCTAACTTTTCTACTTAGAAAAGTCATAAGCGTACAAGGGTCAACGAATTCCCTTTGATTCTTTAGGCTAGTTTGAGTCAGCTTTCTGTCATTTGAAACAAAGAAATCTAATATAATCTTCAATAAAACTAGATACCTTATACATCATAATAGTAATTAAATCATACAGAAGCATACCTGCAGGACAGTGTGGTAGTTCTTCCTTAGGAATGCTAGTCATTCTTTGAAAATCATCATGACAAGCATTACAAAAATGTGTGGTTCCAAAACAGAAAAAGACAGCCACTGAGCAGCAGTAGCGACATTTATATTCCAAAAAGTCTGTGCCATGTTTGGGACACATCTATAGCAAAAGGAAATACATAGACAGAGGATTACATTGAGACTATTTCAGTTATACTTAAGATAGTCATATACACAGCTTAGCAATTCATATTTTGAGAGCATATGTAGCTTCCAAAACTGATTGAAAATTGATGATATATACATTGAAAAATTAATAAATGTGTAGTTTTGCCCAAAAGGTGTGGACAAAGCCCCAAGTTCTAATCCCAGCTCTATCATAATCTACTGGATTTAAGTATGCCACTTAATTTCTCTGTGAATTTTTCATGACCTATCAATTTGAAATAATAATATCTCACCTATCTCCCAATCTCATGGATGTATTGTGAATATTTCACTGGATAAAACATTAAAGTTTGACTGCAGGTTTAAGAAAATGAAAGAAATAAATTTATTACTCGTTGAAATGTGGTGATACAGCTTATGGAAGAAACAATTATAAAATGGGGAAATGTGGAAATACTATCTAGAAGAAATAATACACAGAAAACAATTTGAAAAACTATACAATGCTGTATAAATATAAGAAAACATGGGAAAAGACTTGGCTTACTATTCCTACCATACTGCTTATATAATTATTTAAAAAAAAAAAAAATGAAGTTAAACGTTTCCAAACTGTCCTTTGTAATAAAATGTTCTGCTCACCTGAGCCCTGGATACATCAGAACAGGCACCACAAATGAGCTCTCTGGGATCATAATCGTCCCCTTGTCCAGCCTCAGCATCACAGCGAGCTTCGCCACCAAAATATGCCTACGGAGAAAATGCATTCAGATTACAGTAGAAACAAATAAAACTCTGCCATCGGAGAGACAGTATGGTTTTAGTGAAAGGAAGATCAAGGGATCATAGCAAATACTATTGTCCATTAGACAGTTGCATGATGAAGTCCATGTCCACAGTGCTGCCTGTAAGGGAGACCAGGGTAGAAGTAAAGCTATTTCAGTTCTGGGATGGATTCATGCCTACAGCAGGAAGTTAAAACACTGTACTGTCAAAGCAAAATAACAAAAGAATGTAATAGGATATTAAGTAGTAGAGAGAAACTATACTTTTCAAGGACAAAGTCTGACTAATTTTTCTCGTTTTGAAATATTAAATAGCATATTCCCTTCTACTGCTTTAAAAAAATAAGCTTAGAAATCCCAAAATTATAGTACTGTAGAACAAAAAACATGCCTAAAAATAAATTATTAGTACAGATTTATACTCCTGAGGCTAATGGTGAAGAAGAAAACATCAAAACAAGTTTTAAGCATCTACTAATCATGCAAACATTTTAAACAGAAAAGGCAAATTTGGCAATCCTATTCAGAATACTGCTCAAACTTACAAAGCTACACTGTGTGCAGAAACTCAACAGTATTCATTACAGATACTCAAATAAATGAAATTATCCTGATAGATACTTTTCTCTGGGCACAAAATAAATGAGGCCAATATAACTGGAGCAATTTGCACGTACATCATGTCCCATATCCCAAAAGCTATATCCATACTTGGTGGCCAGCCATCTTAAAATGAAAGATAGTCATAACAGGGAATAAGCAAGATGAGTCAATATAAATCTATTAATACTGTTCTAGAAAAACAGGTCAGAAGATAGGCTCTGTTGATACAGGAGTTACAAATGGTTATCCACCAGGTAAATCTGGCCCCACAAGTACTTCATTTGTCCTGGGGTCTATTACTCATTCCAGCTGTTTCACTTTTCTATATTCCCTCCTTGGCTTCTTAGATATTTGACTGTCACTCCTGTGGTAGCACACTATTCATTTATGATATTTAGTGCATGAACACATAGAAATAATTTTATTATTTGTAACAATACATGTTTAACAAATGCACACTACTGGTCTTTCCTTGGGTGTATATATGTTCGTCTGCATTCCTGGTTATCATCTATCTATTTAGCCTTTTTCATTCACCATCTGTATTTTCTTTTTGTTACAAGGAGGGACTATGCACCTTTCATTTATTCAATTCTTTCACTCATTTATTCATTGTCTAATTCAATAAAAATTAACTTAGTGCTCACTAAATGCCAAGTACTGGAGACGGAGAAATAAAAAAATATAGTCCTTGCCCTCATGGAACTTTTCAAGTGGGTCAGAGAGACAAGTGAACCAGTAATCATAATGTGGAATACTGCGTGTTATGATGGATGTAGGCAAGATATCAAAATCATCTGGTGCGTTTGTGTGTGTGCAGGGGGTGGGCACATTACAGAGGTGAAACCTGAAGCATGATTAGACAGATTTGGCTATGCAGGTTAGTGTGGGTGTATGGGTGGGGGGCGGTCGAGAGTAAAATGCACAGTAGGAAGTTGAGTAGAGCATCCTATGCAGAGAAACAGTACATGCAATGGCATAGAGGTGCCAGTGAGTGAGCAAACGTGGCTAAATCTGGGGAATTGCAAGTAGTTCAACATTTTGTAGCATGAGTGCAAATGGTAGCATATTGGGAGATGGTAACATAATGACAGCATATAGGAGAGGTAGGCAGGGCTATAGGATTATAAGCAGAAGAATGACACAATTAGATTGAGGTCTAGGAACATTAGTCTATTGGTGACAGTGTTAAGTGTAAGAGATGGAATGGAGGGAGTATATTAGAAGGCTACTATAATTACCAAAGTGAAAAATACTTAGGGTTGCTGGAGAAAAAGGACTCGAGAGATCTGGAGACAGAGTTGATAGGACTTTGTTAATGAAGACGACAGACTGGGAGAGTCAAGGCTGATGAGTGTAATAGTGGACATGTGGACTTTGAAGTATCTGTGGGAAATCCAAATGTCTGGTAGGCAGTTGGATATATGTATTTCTAAAATCTTAAACAATTTTGGAAGGCCATGATGGTATAGATGGGAGGTGAAACCATGGATTTACTGGAGGTCACAGAAGGAAAGGAAGTATTGTTTGATAAGAATAAAATGCTGGGAAAAAAATATGTAAAGGGTAGTTGAACAAAAGGAACTTGATGAAGGAGTTAAAGATGGATGACCAGAGAGGAAGGAGGACATCAGAACAGAGTGTTGTCCTGGAAGCCAAGGAAGTAAGAACTGTGAAGAGGGAATTATCAATAGAGTCAAGTAAGAGAAGTTTATTCAAGAACCAATGGGATTTGGCAACCAGGAGGTTATTACTGGTGGGAAATAGCTTGTGTAACATGGTACAAAAATATTACATGTTTTGGTAAAAGTTTATATAGATCAAAAAAAAAAAAAAAAAAAAAGTCAAATACAAATTAAGTAATAATAAGTTCAACCTGATACACTGAAGCTGTCTCATTTGTAACATCAGGCTTAAGACAAAAAGAATAATTAGATAGCAGATATCAACATGCAATTTAACTCCTTGATCACACAGGTAATCTCTAGTTCTTAATAATTCTTAGTGTAATTTATGGCATACCTTTCTGCATTTGTAGCAGACATAATATGCATATCTATTCATGGCGTAGCCAGCTGGGTCATTATAAAACCTCACACCAGGAGTTGTGATCGCTTCACTCTTATGCAGACCTTCATATTCCAGTCTCATCAAGGCCTTTCTTCTGACATCCTCATAGAGTTCTTTGATTGGATCAAGCAGGTCTTTTAATACTATGTGATTTATTTTATTCTGAAATAAAAAAATGAACATTTTTTAAAAGAATCATTTATTTATTAACTCAAAAAAACACTTGATGTGTAGCACTGTGCTAGGAGATTACCAGACAGTAACCAATTTCTAAATCAAATGCCATTTAAAAATAATCCTGTGAAGTCCTCACAAGCCCTTATTTTCCCAAGAGCAGGGAAAATGGGGCCAATGGTGCAGAGAACATGAAAATTCCATTTTTATTAGTTTCGTATTTCCTGTGTCCGAAAAATACATCCTGCTGCCTTAGATGTTCTGGGGATCAAAGGTTACCTTGCTGCCACAAATAAGACATGTGTATTTTGGTTCTTGAGGTGTAGGGTAGAATGTCAGCTGATTGAAATAAGCAGGTAGTATTTTCTATACCACCTTCAATTTCCAGATTCCTAAATGTGACCTTTCTTTGTGGCACTATATGAGAAGGAAGAGCAAAATATGACAATCTGTTTGATTATTCCTAAGTCTAACTAAGTAATGATTGTGCTAAGCATTTCCAGGTTATACTCTTTATTTATACCAGTCTGCAAATCTAAAGGTAAGAAAATAGGAAGAACTTAATAGAGCAATAAGGAATGAAGAATTAATAGGGAAGGCATTGTCAGTCACATTCTTAAACAAAGGTCAGTAGGTAACCTTTATTAGCTTGCCAAAAGAACTTGCTACTTTGCTTAACACCTTTATAGAGATGTGTTAAGTATCAATAATTTTCTCCTTATTTTAACTGAATCTATTCTAATGGCACTGAAAGTTCAGACTGTACACCTTAAATGCAAGTATGAGTACTCCTAAGTACCACGGGATCATTCTTTTTGGTAGTTAACCATTGTTTTCTCATGTAATCTGCACTCTCAGGGCATCTGAAAGTAGTGATGCACGCCCTGTAATGCATGGTGATGTCTACACACATTGTCTGATGCAGTATGCTTAATTCAATTTAATCAGTTTTCACTGGAAATGGAGTCCCGGTAGTGCAACAGTTAAGTGCTTGGCCGCTAACTAAAAGGTCGGTGGTTCAAAGCCAGCAGCGGCTCCACAGGAGAAAAGATCTGGTGATCTGCTCCTGTAAAGATTACAGACTAGGAAACCCTGCGAGGCAGTTCTACTCTGTCATAAAGGGTCGCTATGAGGAGGAATCGACTTGATGGCACACAACAACAGCTTTTAATTGACAATTATTATTTTGAAATGCATTATAACAGACCTCATAATATACTCAGGAACCACCTACATGGGAGTCCCTGGGTGGCACAAATGGTTAAGCACCTTTACGAGCCGAAATGTTGGCAGTTAGAACCTACCCAGAGGTGCCCCAGGAAACGAGCCTGGCGATCTGCTTCCGTAATGTCACTGCCTTGAAAACCCCACAGAGCAGTTCTTCTCTGCATACATGGAGCCACCATGAGTCAGAAAAGACTCGACAGAACTAACAACCAGCACCACCACCACCACTAGGTAAGAAGGGCAGAAACTGATGGGGTCTGGTGGTAAAAGGTAAACTGAGAAGTATACCAAAAGGTGCTGACATGCATTTAATGTGAAAGATGATAATAAAGATGAAAATAAACAGAAAGTAGATAATTTCTGATTCTTTCCATACCTTGCAAATGGGACAAGATATAAATCCAAATGTTATCCTTGGACCAAGCCATCTGTTTTCCAAAACTCGTCGACAGCACTGTAAGTGGAATATGTGACTGCAGTCCAGCTTAAATAAAGAGAAGAGAAGGATGTAAGCATATGTAATGAAGAGAACACTTGAGTAAATGGGAGATTAGTCAAGGCAAGGTGCTACTTAAAGCAAGTAAGAGAAAAATCAAGAAATTTAGTACGATGAAATTTTAGTGCTTCTTTATTATTCATGGATCATTATCAACTAGTCCTTCAGCTTCTCCCAGTATTTACCATTAATATACTAATGCCACTTATGGAAAATAAGGCAGGTTATGGAAAAATGTAAAAGAAGATAAAACTACTGATTTAAATAAGATTTTTTTTGAGAATGTATGTTATCTTGGAATCACAGGAACTGAAAATATATATCAAACACTGGTAAAAGAAAAAAAGAGACTTATTTAGCAACTAGTAACTTCTATAATATCACTAATATAAAAATGTATGTATATACAGTATGGATAGAAGTATCTATACCTAATAAGGTACAGATCATTTACATATGATATAAAAAATACCATCCTGGATTCCAGAAATTAAGAGAGTACCTACTGGATAATCTAATAGTTTTTCTTTCACTTATGAACATTTTATACATTCTATTTTATATGGAGCCCTGGTGGCACAGTGGTTAAGAGCTCGGCTGCTAACCTAAAGATCTGCAGTTCGAATTCACCAGCAGCTCCTTGGAAACCCTATGGGGCAGTTCTACTCTGTCCTACAGGGTCGCTATGAGTTGGAATCCACTCGATGGTAAACGACTTTGGTTTTTTTTTTTATTGATTATATAGGCTCACAGAAATCACAAAGCTGAACACACAAAGTAGTAAATAGAACATAAAGAGACTTGAATTTGCTCTTCAATGAACTGGTAGATGTATACATTAATGGGACATTTTATCCCATGACATAAAACGATTTCAATCATTTGTTTACTTGACAAATAGATTAGTATCTCCCCAGTTTTAAATCTAGACGCATTTAATATGTTAGCTAAAACGGAGACAACCTGAATGGCGGGTGCTGCTGAGAGTGCTTCAGTGAAACAGATCATGCACATGTCATCAGCATCTTGCTTCAGTGTTGTGGCATGTTTATCGCAGCCGTGTAGACATGGCAAACAATGCTCTTCGTTCTTAACCCCTCCACATGGATGCCCACAAGGATGCGTCTTACTACAGGCTATCTTAGCATACTCCTATTAAAGAGGAATTACAATAGTACAGACATCATCAAAAAAGGCACACATCCTGGTAATTATATATCTATTATATTAATTTTCCAAGACACTGTTCCTACAAGAAATACATATTAAGGCTAAGTAACAACAAAGTAGTAGTGTTATTTTTATTCTTTGCTTTAATATAAATTAGGATTATCAACAAGGTCTCTTTTTCTTTTAATGTGATTTTTAAAAATTTTACTTTACATAAAGGAAATGCTTACAAAAAATAAATTATAATTTTAATCTATTTGTTATCATGCATAACCATGAATAAAAAAATTTCTGATGTACAATCTCCCAATCACTCTCTTCTCAAATAGGAATTAAAAAATACAAGTATCTTTCATTATATGAGCTCACTACCCAAATTCTTGTTAATTGAATTGAGGAACCAAAAATATTTATATAGCATGGAATACATGTATATATGTTTAAGATAAAGAACTCTTAGGTATTGGAAACTTATTTAAAATATTTAAGTGGTAAGAAAATGCAAAGATTCTTAACTGTTTCTAGCACAAAGTACAAATTAATACATATGACTGTGGTGGTTGAGAAACAAAAAAAGAGTCTGGTTTGGGCTTGAGAGCCTTATTTGATCCATTCTCCAGCTTTGATAAGGCATTTAACTCTTAACATAGGTAATATATTAATTTAGAAAACAGGAGTGATGTTGAGCTATAACTCTTATTTATATGGACTTAAGGTCTCATGATAGAGTACATGTTGTTCCCTACTGGGATGGCCTGACTGTTTAACTGTATACTCACCTGGCAATCTGCATCAGAACAAACACTGCCAACAGCAGATAACTCTGTTCCACTCCTGGAACCACAGAAACGGCATGCTTCTGAGCTACTTGTAGTTGGTTTGCCTAGTTTCCAAGAGAAAAAGAAAAATCCTCTTTATGGATATGTTTTCTATATATTTTATTATGTATTAAAAAACAAAACAAAACAAAACAAAAAAAAACAAGCAAATTAGGTTTGTATCAGTTCCCATCACTGATAAATTAGCCTGACAGTTTTAAAGCTGAAGGGTGTAAGATACAGTAATTACAAAGTAAATAATCATAAAAAAGACATATAAGAAATGAAAGACCTATCTCAAGCCCAATAAATTCTTGACTGATTTATTTGTAATTTTCCAGTAAAAAGAAACAGACTACATTTCTAGTCAAGATGGCTGACTCAGCCAATGTGGCAAGTCCCCAACTCCAAAAGCACAATGCCAGATAAAATATAACAACAAAAAATTAAACAAAAATAAAAAAGGAAATCTTTAAAAAACTAGAAGGCACAGGAGAAAATCTACAACCAGAGTATGAAACTTAAAAAAACAGAAGAATTTCCACCCAAGGACTAGAGATAATAATTTGAAAAGGAATTTAAATATGAAGTATTTAAAGAACAGATTCCATAAAACAAGGACAGAACAATAAGAAAAAGGATAGAAAGATTTAAAAATCACACACCAAGCTCATTTTTAAACACAGATGGAAAATATCTAAATATAATATTAATACATTGAATTTAGCAGTATTTACAGAAAATATTTTTTGAAAAAGGATAGTTTATATCAAGAATACAAAGATGGTCGAATATTAGAACCTTTAAATGTAATATACTACACAGACAGATTACAGGAGGAAAAAAAATCAGCTATGAGGAAAAAATACATTCAGGTTGATACCGAACTCCGAAATCAGAAGTTTGTGTCAGTCACACCAACGGCAGACTGCAGATGTGATGAAAATGAAGAATTTATAGATTCAACGTAACTTTCAGCTGGCAATACACCAGACTTGATTTGGAAAAAAAAAAACAACAACTGAAAAAACCATGTTTTTGAGGTAAAAGTACATTAAATGTACCCAAGTTACTTTTTGTTTAAACTAATATCTATTCATCTTTGTTGATTATTTTATTTATTACTATCAATGGGAATAGTACCATTTAGAAAACCTTGGGAAGCACTAGCTCTAGAAAAACTTCTTAAGACTATCATAAAATCATATAGCCTTACAGCTAGAATAGATTTCAATGATCATCAATTCTCATTGAGGGGCTACAGCTAACAGAACTAAAAGGAAATATCAACGTAAGTGTACCTTATCTACGGAGCACCTTCTAGTGAGCCACGTTACTTATGGGAATCTATCTAGTACTTGTGACGGTTATCAGTCATGTGTGTCTCTGGACAACCATCTCACTTTACAAATGAGAACACCGAGTTATAGAGAGGTTAAACAGAGTTGCCCAAGTTCACACAGCTAGTGAGTGGAAAGCCAGGTTTCCTGACTTTTAGTCTAATGTTCTTTCTACCACAGACACTAGTCTGTGTCTAGTAAATATAGACAGTGATCAACAGTGTCATAATTAGACATTAGAATATCTCTCAAAATTATATTAAATGAACTAACATCTAGTTTAATCATAATCAGTAGGCATGGCTCAATCCTGAATCCTCTCTTACCTGTGTGTTCTCGGAATTCCACCATTGCCTTCATTGTTTTAGAATCTGCTAGTGCCATCAACCAGAACAATTTGGTTCTACCACAACCTTCATGAAGGTCAACCTTTATAGCTTCTTCTTCTTCTTTGAAGACCTATTATTTCATTAAAGAAAAGGGAAAATATATTTACCACTCTGAAAGAGGAAATTAATTATTTAATAATAAAAATGGATTTCATTTATTAAGCACCCTGAGAAGTTCCACATACTTCACAATCTTCTCCTCTTTAATCTTCACAAGAGACTTATTTTTATAAAAGACGTCTCTGAGAGGTTAAACAACTTGTTCGATTTATATAGTTGATAAGTGAGACGCCTGGGAATTGAATCTAGGTCTTTTGATTCCAAAGTCCATTTTTTTCCCCACTCCACTAAGCTTCCTTCCCACATTGACTCCAGAATTTATTGAGTATATTTTCTGCTTCAGGTACTGTTCTGGGTATCAAGCCACAAATCTTCACCTGTCTGTGATGAGTTTTGGTCCGACGGTGAAGGTGAAGGAACCTGTCACAGTCAGTACATAAATTTCCACAAATGTTGCACAAAATGATTGCTGCAGTTTCACCATCATCATGGTTGTCACACATGGGCTGAAATAAGACATGTACAAATGTGCCATTAGGTTCAAAAAGTCTCCGGTACCCATAAAAAATGAATGTAATCTAGGCAAGTCTGTTATTCTGAGGTCTATTAAGAATTTAGAATCTGAATGTTAACCGGAATTAATTATGGCAATTACACTTAACTATAAAATTCCTCAAATTTCCAAATTCATTAATTAATGTGCTAGGCAGGTTCAATGATTAATATAATAAACATGTATACTTTTCTTAGTAACTTAACAACTTTTCTCCCCATTATATTCAAACATTCAAAGTTAATGCACTCTGTATGCTAAATGAATGAACGATTCATTTTGACACTTGAACACTAATAAGAGAATGCTAAAGGGGCCTATACAAGGTCTTCCCTTCCACTGAACCTAAGGCTGCACAGCAAAGCTACTTTAAGTACATATATGAATAAATGATGTGTTACATTACCTCTGCTAATATTTATTCCCTTCCTACCATAAAATCAATTTTTAATATAAAAATCTAGTTAGATATAGAATCAGAGTCTTGCTAAAATCAAATTTTGATATGATACAAACATGACTAAGAGAAGAAGGGAAAAGCTCTTTTAAAAAATTAAATAAAAGGCCCTAAAGTTCCCAATGTACTATGAAGAGGGGACCCTAAGTGAAAGAGACTTATGAGATGAACACAGTTTTTCAAGAGTTCTACCAACTGTGTATTCTGAATTCTCCTTTTTTTTTTATAACGTTAATCTAAATTAAAGTACCCCTATTATAAAGCAAAACAAGATAAATTCTTATAAAAAAAATTCTGATCTTACCATTTGTTTTTGTTGTCCATCCTTTCCCATCCATCTCCCTGAGGAGAGACGATCTACATGATCCTGATCAAGAACACACAGTGATGCCAGAGCGAGCCAGAGCTGTGGAAAGGAAAGGCTGTTACACTAGTGAATTTTTAGGAAAGGCTTACAAAACACTCACTGCCTGACAAGGATAATGGCTCGATAAATGCTGGCTGAATTTGAAAATATTTCGACACCCAGTAGCACCCAGTCAGTTTTTCCTGATGTGCTTCCAGGAAAACACGCTCACTACCATACATGCTGTGCACATCGCAGGCAATCAAATATTCACTGAACAAATGACTGTTTCTCTGATGAACTGTCCTGTTTTCTACCTGACATATGAAATTACCCTTTTTTGTCTACTATATAAATAAAATATGAATAAATGAACTTATATATTTATTTAATATTACTGTACAATGCCTTCTACATGTTTTTCCATACTAGTATTATCGGTCTGAGGTATTAAATTCCAAGGAATTTAATTTTGCAGTCTTATGAGTAGTTGGGTACATATAAAATTCTTTTAGATAATAACGTCTCATGAGGTGTCTCTGTACGACCCAAAGTGCCTAGCACTATGCGTGGTCCACTTTGTCAGAAATAAGTAAATGGCTAACAAAACTTAGAAAACTGCCCTAAAAATAGGTTAGAAAAATTTCTGAGGCTTTAAGGGTAAGCTGCAGTTTTACACAGAATGATACATTCCTTTATTACTGAAAAATTGAAAATTACTGAACTGGCTCAACTTTCAGAATTATATACGGGTGTCATGGATATGAAGACGAAGACAGGATAAAATAGGGACAGAAAAAAAAAGAAAACAATGAAAGTATGCAAGGAGGAAGCAGAGTGCAGAATGAGAGCAGAGTGCATGCATGGTGGGAAAGGGCTACTGTCAGAGGTAACTGCTTCAGACGCACACTCACTAGCAACATAGCATAAATTGCCTTTTTCTGCCCTTGGGAAATAAAGTTTATCTTCATTTTCAGATTTCTGAGGATTAACCTAGGCAGTTTCTGCCAGTGTTCACTTCTTTCTAATGCTGTCACACTGTCCTGCTTCAAGGAATCTCAAATCTCTTTTGGAATTATATGAACATGAAATTTTGTAGGCTAATAATTATTACTGAAGTCTCATCTGAAGAATGTAATCCTATTTCCTAAGAGATTCTGCCCCACTTCATGATCAGCATATACTTTTTGCTTTTTAGAAGCAAGGTCTGTAAATACCGTAAGTAGCCTATAGAGCTCCACATTAGGAACAACTGGGCCGTATAAAAAGGGGCAGGCAAGGGTCTTGTCTTTGAAGGGCCTCAAACCTATCACAGCATAATGCCAACACCAAACTGAATGTGCTAACTACAATAAACACATCATTAGAAAAACAATACACTGATACACAACACAATTTAGCTTTTTCTAGCCAGTATATCCTTAGCTTTCAAAATAATAACAAAATAACTGGCACAGAACACATAATAGTGAACAGTAACAACCACTATATTTAGTTCATAATTCAAGAAAGGCTTTCACACTTTTTCAATAAGTAGATTATTTAATAAAAAGAAAATGTGGACTAAGCTGACTAATTGATTAAAGTTTGTTCAAAACTATTACTGAAAAAGAACACTCAATGATACGGACCAAATAAAACAAAAACCTACCCTAGTTGTTGCAATACATCTCACTGGAGACCTGAACTCTTCCTCCATCTTGGTCAAGGCAATGATGGTTTCTGCAATGGCGTTTTTTGTTACTCGGGACCAAGCTTCTGACAGATGACCCTATCAAACAGGACAGAATATTTTAATAAGTAACCAGAAATATATTATCATATTAGTAAATTCTGTTCTTTTAAATAAACATATCTCAACCCAAAAAAAAAAAAAGTGGTTTGTAGCAAGACCATAGAATTTTAGATCAAGGGGCAGAGACTTTTGAAATAAAAATCTTTTCCAATCCTATGAACAATTTAACTTCCAATCACTATTTTGATGATTCAAAAGAAAATAAACACTTAAGTTCTCAATATTCCTTTTCCTATACTGTTCAAGGGTATGTCCTCTTACATTTAGACAAAAACAACAGAAATACTAAGGTGTCTGTGTTTGCCAAATTTTGGTTATGAAACCTTGTTATTTTTTTAGATGAGTATTACTGGAACTAAGTGCAGATGGGTTCAAACTACAACTACCTTTATTTGCTAATTTTCACTACTATAGAATGTAGGTGCTTCTAAACATTTTCATCCAGTCAACACCCTGAGAGAGTCCATTTGCCCCAAAGATTATGAAAATGTCCATTCTGTTGAAAAAAGTGATAGAAATTCATATTTTTCCCAGCATATTTTCCCACTTCTCATATCCACATCCTATCAATCTTTTAAGGGGCAGCTCAAACCCCCTCCTTCTCCATAATGCCTTCTGTTCACTCTAGAGCTCAGGAACTAAATTCCACAGTATCCTCCCCCACTCAGGCTAGATCCTGACATAAAATAGAAGGCAAGGAAACTAACACTTGGAGCAACTATTAAGAGCCATGGAGCCCTGATGGCACAGTGGTTAAGAGCTACGGCTGCTAACCAAAAGGTCGGCAGTTTGAATCCACCAGCCACTCCTTGGAAACTCTATACGGCAGTTCTACTCCGTTCTATAGGGCCACTGAGTTGGAATCGACTTGACAGCAATGGGTTTGGTTTTTGTTTCGCTATTAAAAGCCAAGCACTCTTAGAAGTACTTGTCTATCCTCCATACTCCCAGAAGTCCCCTCAAAACCAAACATCTTAAGGTAGCAGTATAGGACATTAATAATGACAATAAAGGCTTTAAAAGCCATGAGAACTGGAGAGAATGAGCAATTTTCCCTTTTAGGAGCCCTTTTTTTTCCTTTAGGCTTTTGGACCCAGGTTCTTTTTTATTTTTTAAGTTTTAAAGTCTAGGAAGACTTATGTAGCAATTCTCAAGGAAATTAACTGTAGTTTGAAATTAACTTTGTTTACATAAGCGATGAATTATCACTAACTGAAAACACAAACGGTGTCTAACAGTTAACATACCAACAATAAAAACCAGTTGCTATCGAATTGACTCTGACTCATGGTAACCCTACGTGTATCAGAGCAGAACTGTGCTCCATAGGGTTTGCAGTGGCTGATTTTTCTTAAGTAGATCACCAGGCCTTTCTTCAGAGGCACCTCTGGGTAGACTCGAACAGCCAACCTTTCGGTTAGCAGCCAAGTACTTAACCATTTGCACCACTCAGGGACTCCATACTAACAGAAGCCTTTAAGTAAAACCATATAACACCAGTGTAGGTCTCCTATCAATTCAGTAGAATAAGCTGATTGTTTGATCAGATTACTACTATACCTCATTGATAGGAAGAAGGATAGGAACTTACTGCTGCCATATCCTTTATAAGTTTAATAATAATCTCTGAGATCTGGGTAGGAGTTGAGCCCTTCAGCCACCAATGGCTTTCACCTCGTCGAATGTAACTACAAAACAAAATCAGCATTTATAAACCCATCAGTGATAGTTGTTACAAATAAGTAAGATGAAAACTGTTATTTCAGGGTATAGCATTTTAATTTTTTTCTCCATAAGACTATCTATGTGATGCTACCGGACACAGATCAATATAATTTTTTCAAAACCTAGTATTCTTTCTCTTGTAGCTGAAAGAACAGTTTATATCAAGTTTTCTTCTACAGCTTTTTAATTTTTTAAGTGATTGAATCAATTAAAGCATTTGAAAAAGAAATTAATCAAAATATTACAATCTAGCTCTTCAATCCCAAGAGAACGGTTATTTTGATTTGCGTTCCTTTTCAAATATTTTTGTTTACATATTATTTTCAGTGTTATCTTCTAGCACAGTGCTATTCAAAGGATAGTCTGTCAATCAGCTGCCTTTCCACAAACTATTTGTTACCAGTCCACATAGAGATAATAAGGAGCTTGGGCCAGAATGTAAATCGACTGAATCACCGAACACGCTGGTGTTTGGTTCAGCTGATACTGTTTTTCCCTAGCAGAGTATCCAGATGAACGGAGGCGATATACTGATTTATATTCTGGTGTTTTCTTATTTTTTCATGGATTGGCTCTTTGAGTAGCACTGTGCCAGACCTTTTCCTATTAATTTGTTTAGAAATATGCAGATGTTGGTTATTTTCTTTCTTCCTCTTATATATTAATGTTTGGCTACTTTTTTTTTTTTTAACTTAACAATATATACTACTGTTTCCTTTTTTAGGGAATGTAGAGATATTGTCATCTTTTTAAGTGCTGCATGATGACTGGAGAAAAATCAAAATAGGTTCTCATTAAGATCTGACGTGTATTTCACAGTGTGGCTGAGCACAGCTTGCTTAACCATTCCTCTTAGGATGGATGCCGGGGTGGCTCTACTATTCTGCTGTTACACAAAATTCTAGAACCAACATTCTTTCATATATACCTTTATTCACATGTGCCAATATTTTTAAGGGAAACAGTTTCAGAAGTAGAATTGGTGGGTCAAATGATATGTATATTCTAAATATTGTGGAATATTATCAAACTGACATCCACAAAAAGCAGTATCAATTTATCTTGGATGAGAATGAGAGTGCCTATTTCCTCAAAATGCCACCAAAGCATCGAAGATATTTTGCTATTGTTTTAGTCTACAATTCTCTGATTACTAGTGTGGTATCTTTTCACTTGTTTATTGGCATTTGCATTTTCTTCTGCGAACTGACAACTCTTGTCATTTTTTTTTAAATCAGTTGTGTGTCTTTTCCTCATTGATTTGTAGTCATTCTTCTATTATGGCTACTGTATCATGGTTATATAGGTCTTGAATATTTTTTCCAAGTTAATTGATTGTATTTCAAAATATTTTAAATCAATTAATTTTCATTTTTATATAGCCAAATATGTGAATCTTTTCCTCCACGACTTTCAGGTTCTGTGGTCTGTTTCAGGAGGTCTTCCGAAATTAAATATTACAAATGTATTCGTCTATAATTTGTCCTAGTAGAGTTTTAAAAACTATATAAAGCTTTCATTGATCTGAAGTTTATTTTTATATAAGGTGTGAGGCAGGGGTCAAAATTTTTCTAAGTGGATCTCCAATTATCCTGACATTATATATTTATCAGACTTTCCTTTTCACACTTACTGGAAATGATGTATTTATTATATATATTCCCTTTTATACATGGAGCAGTTGTTTTTAGATTCAATTAGGTGAGTAAGCAAACAGGTGGAATCTGAAATCATATCTTAATTCTTCAACACTAGCTGACTCTATTCTCTTTTAGCACTAAAACAGAGACAATGACCAACCTGGAATTAAAAATCATTGGAAGGGTAACTGTTGTAACTCCTTTGCCCGCGGTGGTACCAGCTGTTCCTGTGATGGTGGTTCCTTTGGCTTTTAGCTGTACGGTGAGTGCTTTGGCAATGCATCCTAGAAACATGTCTAAGATACCTAGCTTATTCCAATCTCCTTTCTCTGTTGAATGTATGATATCACTGATATCTGCTGGGGGAAGGGATTTCACTCCTATGATGCTAGCCAGCCGACTAGGGGTCACTTCAGGCAAAACTCGTCTTAGTAAGGAGGTCACCTGGTAAGGAAAATAAAAAGACTTCCCTTTAAAAATTGATGCTTTAAAATTTTCATTTTGTCAATGAGCCTCGCTGCCATTCTACCACTTCAAAAGCTTTGAGGAGGACAGAAATATGATTTAAACTTTTTAAAAAAATTCCTGGAATGGTAATTACCACTCCAGGGCAACAAGAGAGGAAAAAAAAGCCTTTTTATTTGGTTAGGACTAAAGGAAAATTACTATGTATTTCATGGTATCAAGACAATCAGTAGCCAGAATATTCTTTAACACAACAACACATTAGTGGCATGTAACATATTTTGCTCTTTCATACTCTCATTACAATGAGTCAAAAATAAAAACACATGGAGTTAAAATACAGGCTAAGAAGAAAACATGACAAAACAAAATAGAAATCTACATCCTAAGGTGATTCTGTTTGCTAGTGTGATTTTGAATGATGTTGAAAGTATGATTTCAAGTAACAAAAGAGGCCGAAAGGTAGTGGTGTGATCAGTCACCTGTCTCTGGACTCTAGGTGAGGCTGTGTGCAGCAGTGAAAAGAGGTCCTGAAGCAGAGTTAGCTGCTGAGCTAGATACTGCCGACCCACATTAGAGCCACTCAGTGCTAAAACCATAGATAGCAGCTCAAAGCAATAAGCGTCAGAGGAGGCATCTTCATCATTTGGCTGCGAATTGGCATTTTCTTTACTTGATATGGCATGTTCCCATTCTTCACGGACTCTGGTGGCTTCCATGCGAATAGCCTGGACGATGTGAGCACACACCTATTTAAAGGCAATATGTAGAAAATGTAAAAATATATTTGTAAGACTGATTTTCTACTTCTATTAAAAAGCAAGGAGCCTCGGTGGCACAGTGGTTAAGAGCTCAGCTGCCAGCTGAAACGTCTGTGGTTCGAATCCACCAGCTGCTCCACAGAAGAAAGATGTGGCAGTCTGCTTCTGTAAAGATTTACAGCCTTGGAAACCCTATGGGGCAGTTCTACCCTGTCCTATAGGGTGGCTATGAGTCAGTATTGACTGGATGGCAATGGGTTATTAAAAGCAAGACAAGACCATAAGCTGATGCTCAATTTAACACTCTTCCTCTCAGTTAATTCTCCATTATACCATTCTCTTAACTCGTCTTAAAAACCATTAAGGTTAAAAATTAGAATATTTAAATCAATCAACTACTGTTTAGAAAATGATCATATACCATTTACCTATGTCCCTGCCAGTGGTTAAGCACATCAAACAAAAATCAACTGCCATATTTTATCACTTCTAAGGCATATTTTTTCCTTTCATTTTAACATTTCCATGCATAATGTGCTTTATAAATCAACTGCATTCATAATTTAACTGGCAGCAATTTCAGTTATATAAAATAACCACATTTACAATGCAGTGGATAGTATCTAAGACTCAATGAAACACTTTAAAGAGATAAAGCACAAATAAACTCATGTCATTTATTTTAACAAACTATTTAATAGCATATAAAGGTAAAATAGGCTCATTTAAAGTCAATATTTTGTTTGACTTTTTTTTTAAATTGTTATCCCCATTTTATTTTTTTTTAATTGTGTTTTAGGTGAAAGTTTACAGCTCAAGTTAGTTTCTCATTCAAAAATTTACATACATATTGTTTTGTGACATTGGTTGCAATCCCCACAATATGACAGCAGTCTCCTCCTTTCTACCCCGTACTCCCTGCATCCACTCGTCCAGTTCCTGTCTCTTCCTGCCTTCTCATCTTGCTTTTGGGCAGGACTTGCCCATTTGGTCTTGTATATTTGATGTAACTAAGGAGCACGTTCTCATTTGTTTTGTAGGCTTGTCTAATCTTTGTCTGAAAAGTGGGCTTCGGGAGTGGCTTCAGTTCTGAGTTATCAGAGTGTTCCGGGGCCACAGTCCCGGGGGTTGTTTGACTTTGAAGGGCTTTTTTATATTATCTACAAACCCCATTATATGACCACTCCCTTATATTTAAAAATACTAACACTAGTTTAGTTAACGCTATAATTGCTCAGCAAACAACAATAAATAACAGTGAGAGAAGAACACAGGAAATGCAAATACAATTTGATATAGTTGGGTTATTTGGCACCAAAATAAAACAATCTACCTGAAAATGAGAAACAACAAGGAGCAGCAAGGTAAGAAAGCTAACATGTATAACAAAATCTCAAAAGTGATGCAGGTATGCTGATACACTCAATCCTCTCTAGAAAAAGAAAACACATTCTGTAGGACATATAAAAGAGGTAGCATAAAAAAGCTCTATATATTTTGGAACATGCCAAAGCAAAAAAACAAACAAACTAAACCTGTTGCCATTGAGTCAATTCCAACTCTTAGCGACCCTAAAGGATAGAGCAGAACTGCCCCATAGAGTTTCCAAGGAGCAGCTGGTGGATTTGAACTGCCGACCTTTTGGTTAGCAGCCATAGTTCTCAATCACTACGCTACCAGGATTTCCTTGGAACACACAGTATACCCTAAAAAAACAAAAAACTAAACATAATAAAATGGCTATTAACTAACCTGTTTTTGTAAGTTAGTCAGTTTACTTCTGCTGAATATAATTCCAACCATGTGTTCTTTCAGGTCCGCATCTGATGTTGCCTTTAAGTAGAAAAAGAAAGAGAAATGAAGCAGGCTCTTTAAATAAAATTTGTGTATCTGACATTTCGAAGTAATCTTGAGAAATAATTATGCAAATATTTTATAAGGCGAACATTTAAGTTGAAGTCTATGACACTAAAACAAAGGATGAAGTTTGAAGAAATTAGCCTTGACCAAAGTGACTATAAAAAGCACAAAATTTCAGAACTTAAGAAATCCAGAGAAGTATACTATCTTTTCATAGATTTAGTTAATCTAGTCAATTTGAGTCACTTTGATTGAATCTATTTCTAAATTGTGAACATTATTAGTTCATATCCTATGTTCAGTTGTTAGAAGAACAATTCAAGAAAATAACATTTGATTAAAAAATAAAATAAAAATAAAAGTCCTAATAAGACTCCATGATGATGGTGGTCTTCAATTAAGCTACTCTTCAACATCAACAGTCACCAAAGAAACATATCATAAAAAGAAAAATAAAGGGTGAATTTTATGGTGCTTATTATGAGCGTGGAACTTTTCTAAGAGTTTGTCAGAGTAGAACTGTGCTCCACAGGGTTTTCAATGGCTGATTTTTCAGAAGCAGATTGCCAGGCCTTTCTTCAAAGGTGCCTCTGGGTAGCCTTGAACTTTCAACCTTTTGGTTAGTAGCCAAGTGTGTTAACCATTTGTACCACCCAGGGACTCCTATTTAACCTTAACTCCTCAATATACACTTTCCTACTGTTAGGCCAGCCTCTTCAATGAGTCCTTATTGATAGCCTCTCCACTAATCTAACTTTTCTCTGGTCCCTTTCAGGTCTCATTCAAGTCCAACATCCCCCAAGAAGCCCTCTCTGACCACTCCAGGACACAGTAATCTGTATTTAGTCTGAAATCCTATGACATACGTAATCTTTTTCACATTCTCAATAACTTCATTGTATACTGCGTATATAGCATCCTTGCTGACTTTACTTTTTTTTGGGGGGCGGGGGGAGCAGGTGGGTGGAAGGTTCATATCCAAGAACAGAATGCCAGCTTTTTGAAGGGTTGGTACTCTCATGGTTGTTTAGCACAGAATTGACATTTGTTAAACTTCAGTGATTTAACAAGTAGTTACATAACTCTTGTAGTCATTCAAGTAATATCTCCAAAAGATTTTGAAAAAAATTCCCAGAGTTTATGAAATCTTATTTTTTATAGACCTCAACTAGAAAAATATAGGGATGATTTATACAGTGTTGTATTAGAAGGCACAGGGCTAGATTAAGTAAGTTCTTGAAATGATCTTTCAAATGGCTACAAAGATGATTATCTGTAACATCTAAAACACATGGACACTGACAGTAGTCAGGTTTGACTTCTCTTTCGGGAAATGGTTGAGGTTTTCCTCTTAGATACAGTACTTCGGTTTAGACCAAATAAGTAAAACAATGGCATTTTAGAAGAAATTTCAAGAACAGTATAAAGAACAGTTATTTCAATAAGATTTACTGAATGTGTGGTGCTTATGCACCACTTGGTCCTCAAGGAGGACGTATGGTCCAATAGAAGAAATAAAATATGTATGTAAAATATACCAAGAGAGAACCCAGGAAGAGACAACATATGGATTATTATAAAATATAGCAGAGGAAAAACTACTTTTGGTTGGGGGAAGCCATAAAGAAGGTTCATGGAGAAAACAGTAATTTTGAGCTGGACTATGAAGGAAAGATAAGATGGTGGAAGGAGAAGATAACTGATGGTGGACTCCACAGCATATGACTAAGTTAATTTTACACATGCTAATATTTGAACACTACAGCCTAAGGCATACAGCAAATTTTGCTGTTACTTAGGAAACTAGCTAGATTATATATTAATAGTGAATTTCTTTTAGCTAGTTCCTTCATATTTCTAATTAAAGTAAAAACTATGAACTGCATATAAACTAATATCACATATCTATTAAAATATATAGCAATATATTAATTATTTCACTGAACAGTAAGGAATTGAAAAAGAGAAATAAATATTTTTAGAATACAAATAAATACATTGTATACTTTTTCCTCTCCTTCAGGTGAAGACAATAGTGCTTTCTCCTCTTGCTCTGGTGTAGGTTCGGCATCTCCAGAGATGAGCTTTCCAAACACCTGATGAGATGAGAGGCATGTGAGGAAGAATTAATGACAGGAAATTACTGCTGTGAAAACCAGAGGGCTCATTAGCTGATTCTGCAGTTTCTATAATTGTTACTATACTGTTCCTGCTATACACCATTTTTCTGAAATATGAATGCAAAATGAAACGCAAGAGTTTAGGGCTAGGAGAAAAAAAATGGGCCACATCTGTAGCTAGCAACGTCTAACAAGTTTTACAAAATACTTTGTTATAATCTCAAAATATGTTATTTCAGTTTATCCTGTGGGAGATACAGCAAGGACACTCACTTGGGATGTAATGAGTCTGAACACTCGTAGGGTCTCTGCTTCACAGTTCCTTTGCTGGGCCACACTGGCTGAAATCTGGCCAGCAATCTTAGTGCTTTCTCCATCCTTCCAGCCCAGGACTTTAACTTGTCGAACCCTCAGTGTATTTTCTGGGCCCTTTAATTCAATTTTGATGATGTGGTTATCCCCTCCTGGAAGTTCACTTGTTACCCAACCAATGTGCCTGGAGTCCAGGTCAACCTGGTAGAGCAGAAAAGGGAGAGGAACCTGATACAGCTGTATCACTTTTATCACTGTCCTCAACTCAGCAGTAATATCAACAAGCTCAAGTAACACATATCTGTACAGATGGAAATTTTTTTTAAGTTATTTCACACTGGTTATCTTATTTAAACCTTGTGAGGATAAGTATTTAGTACTATTACACAGATGACAAAATTGAGGTTAATATAGGTTAGGGGATTCTCAGTAAGTGATGAGTTGATAATTAAAATCCAGGTCAGACTAGCTAGCGCTTCCTAGTACAAGCTTGTAGGTGAAACCATCACAAATAATTTATATAACTGTACTCTACCTACTCCAAGTATAAGTAAAAACACTCACAAGGTCAGCAACAGCTCCTGTTTTGTGCATTCTCACATTAAAGCACCATTTAAAGGTACATACTTTTGAAGTGCAGTTACTTAATATGTTTACTTTTGAAGACAGATAATGTGTAACTTCACACTTGTGATTCCTTATTTCACTGAGTATATAACTTTTTTCAAGGATTAAGTCTCAATACAATATGAAATGTTTTTTGAGGAATTTTCACTTGATAAAATAAAAATTGTTCCCATGGTATTCGATATCTAAGAAATGAACATGAGACTTCTACATTATTTATCTAGACATTCAAATTAATATTGTTTTAATTAATAATGGCAACCTTTCTAAAAAGGACATTAAGCATAAACAAAGACTATCTCATTAAATAAGGTTATTTTCCCAAATTCTTTCACAATTTAAATGAAATTTATTGTTTGTTCAATACAAAATATCAATTCATTCTTTTAATACGATTTGGGGAAAAAAAAAAAAAACCTGGTCAACTTTCTTGAGATAAAGTCAACAGAAAAGAACAGCTTTGATAAAGTTTTACTTACATAAGTGAGTTGCACAGAATCTCACACACATGCCCAGAGAAAAGTTAACTTGTTTCTAGAGTTGATTTGTAGACTGACTTGCACCCTGGGTATTGTGGCAGTGTTATGGGATAGATTTTCAGGTTAGAAGACAACAGCCTATTTTAACCTAAAGTGTAGGCAAATTATGGTGTTGTGTCAATCAGATCTAAGATGAACTATGGCAGCATCCTGAATCTTTGTAGGGGGTGGGAGCTGGGGGTGGTAGGCACAGTACAAAAAACAACAAACCAAGCCCGTTGCCATGAGTCAATTCCGACAGCACATATAGGGCAATAATGGGTAAGAATTCTAGCACAGGGCACAGGCCATTTGTCAGTTTAGTGTTCTGTAAATAGATGATTTCCTATAATACTTCAGCAGAATGCCAGAGCAGGAACTCAAACTGAAGACATACGAAGAAATTTCTCCTTACATAGTAAAACATTTAAAGACAAAATTTCAATTACCTGCTTGATTCTGCACAAATCTTCTACTGCTTTGCCAGTTAAGAAGGTCATTGAGGTAACTTTATTCTAAAACGGACAATTCAAAATAGTTATTACATTATACTCTTTGCTTAAGAACTTACAATGATTTCTTACAACCTACCCATATCAAATTAACTCTTCTGCTTGTCTTTTATGGTCCTTCCTAATTGACCTCATGCTATCTACCCAACCATCCGCAATTTCTACAACTCCCGTCTTTTCTTATCCTCACAATCTCCCTCTTAAATCTCACACTTCAGCCTTTTTCCATGGGCTCTCTCATAGCTTGGTATACTCTCTCTCTTTTTACCCAAGGTTTAAACATTCAAATTCTATGTCTATCATGAAGCTTTCCAATAAGTCCACTTGTCACTCACGTCCCACTCTCTTTCCTATATTCTCATTGCTTTTCGAAGTAAAAGGAAGGACGGTAGCTTAATCAACAAATACTTGTGAATGTGACAATGTGTACAGAACTGTCTTATGGACATGAAGAAGGATATATGAGAACGATGGGTTCTCTCTCAAGATAATTGCCAAACTAGGGAAGGCATGATTAACTACAAAACATAAATATCAAATCGTATTAAGTTAAAATAGCTTTAAGTACTGAAAAGTCATATTGGTACTATAGCCAGAGATCTTAAGGTTGAGTAAGCTTTAGGCAAAGTGCATCAAGAAAGAGACTAACATATTAATTGCTTGGAGAGCTGCATATTTTAGGGCTATAGACTGATGCACTTCAAATCAACACATGCTATGTTGCTCACTGTGGAGGGCAGGTTGGGAAACAGAGGTACAGGAGGCTCAAGGACGCATATAATTTAGAGGAGGTTTCTTAGAAGGAAAGCAGATGTCAGCTTACATACTAGGGATTTATCAAAATGAATATTGTTAAGGTTATCTCCTCCTAGAAAAGTTAAAAATGTCAAGTTGATTGAAATCACTGTTCTGAGGGAGACTCTGTCCTGGTTTAAAATGTACCAAGAAACAAAGATAACTTTGTACTGGGCAGTGAGTTCCAGTCAGAAAAAAAAGTTTTGATTTATTACACTTCTTAGTAAGATAATGTAGTTATACCAGCTGAAACTACTCTTGGGTCTGAAGAGGAAATAAACAGATTATATTAGCTAAGCCCCTTCTATGATTCAACGTCAGGGAAAAACTGAACCTGTACTGAAGGACAGGAGTTGGGGTGGCTGTGGACGTAAGGAGTGCTCTGATTGCAGGCTGGATTGCTGTGGCTGGCACTGCATCCAGGTTATATAAGACCCAACCCCATCACTCTGGCTTCTCCCAGCGAAGAAAATATGCACATGGGACAAGAGAAGTTCAGCAATGGTCCAAGGGATAAGAGCAGCTTAGCAATACATCTGCTACCAAATCACATTCTTTCTGAAGGAAAGAATTCCAAGAAGTATCCTTCCCTAGGAGTGCGGGTAGAAGAATGGAAGTTTTGACTAAACTTGAAATAAGTGCACGATTACTAAACCTGTAAAGAACTCATAAGCCACAAATAAAGTTTCCTTTCTTACTCCGAGATCTCGGGAATTGTCCACATGAACAGACACATAGCGGGCATTGATTCCTTTTACACAGTTGATGGTGATGTTCTTAGTTTTGTTTTTATCCTCATCTCCTGATTCCCAAAAGGTTTCTGTGGAACCATCGGTCAAACTGCCAATCATGGCAGGTCGGCTTGATGTTTTTATGTCAACAATGCTGGTTAGGTCCTTTAAGCACATTACTATGCACAATTCCTGCCAGAAACAAATATAATTATAATACTCAAAAGGAAATCTTCCATGACAATAAAATAGGTAGATATGAGAAAATAAATAAAAATATGTAAAAGAGAAACAAATTGTTCTCCTTCAATATACAACTGAATACTATCTAATAGGATAACCAACCAGAAAATAACTGATAAAAAACTGACCTGACTCATAGCTTCAAAGCCAGACTGTATACTGATGCTAAAACTCTCTTCACTATCGCCATCATCTGATTTTGACAAAATATTGTTAATGTGATGAAAGACGTTGCTCTGATGGAGGAACTGGTGATCAGATTGCTTGAATTTCAGACTCCAGCATCTAAAAAGGCGTAAGCAATACATGAAATACTTCTTGAGGAATTCCTGGAAAAGCACCCTGTAGCAAATATTTCAAGAAATCTTAATGCTCTAGGTAAAAAAACAAAACTAAAAAAAAAAAAAAAAATATTGCTGCTTATTTATTTTTAGAAATAAAGATAATTTCTTTAGAGCAAGGTAAGTTCTAAGGAACATTCAGCCCATTGTAAATATACAAAAATTAGGTACATAAAGATCAAGGATATACAAGCAAAAAAGGTAATGAATCTGCTTTGTAGATAAGTGTTACACCAACTATAACAGCCTTTGAAATTTATTAGTCTTAAAATTACATGCTAATTCACCAGGGTCTAAGACATCTTATACTTTAAAAACCTTGTGATGAAGAAAAACAATCTTCCTTCTGCTGGTTTTACTATGTAGGGACCAAAACCAAAAACCAAACCCATTGCTGTGGAGTCAATTCTCACTCATAGCGACCCTATAGGACAGAGCAGAAATGCTGCATAGAGTTTCCACGGAGCAGCGGGTGGATCTGAACTGCTGACCTTCTGGTTAGCAGCTATAGCTCTTAACCACTACGCCACCAGGGTTTCCTATGCAGGGACACAGGAAGGCAAATCCAACAACCTATTTCTTATAAAATCAATGGAGGATTTTTCTTATATGTGTAGTCCAATAGGTGGATCTAATAACAAGATTCACAATGTAAAAGTAATGCTAAAATCTCTGCAGATTCCAACTTAAAATTAGGTGATGCCTCACAAGGTAGTTGCATGCAGCAGGGCTCCAATTTTCTTAAGATTTTTTTAAACTCAAAACCGTATCTTCATTTTTGTTTATAAGAATTCATTGTTCCTTTCCTTTTTTTTGAGACACTGAAGATTCTACTCCCAGGCAGCACTGAGGTAAGGTGACTTGAGGTAGGAGAGGGGAAAGTGTGGGAGATTGTTACAGACTGTGATAATATAGATAACTAAAATATATTATGCATATTTTACAGAGGGGCAAACAAGCGTGAGGTAAGAGGAAGGACAATTCTAAATTATGACAGTAAACAGGGAGGCACCGTTTATATAATTTAAGGATTCTTTGTATTTTATTTCTTAAAAAGAAAGGTCTTTCAAACACTTTGTACTTTCCATAATCCATAAAATCTCTTCTCCGAATTACCGTAGGGCCATTTGCTGTAATGAGCTGCCACCGGGGAGAGACATCATAAGATCAGAGATCGTCTGAAGCAAGCGGTGAAACGTGTGTGGTAAAGGATGCGCAGCTTCCCCGGCAATCACTATATCTGAGAGTGGATGTTCACATACTCGTGTATCTTTCTCCTAAAACAGAAATTGAAAGCAATTTTATTAGCTTGTTTTCTGGAAGGAACTTTACCCACAAAAGAATATTATGTATAATTTTTAAGATACTTGTGTAACAGAAATGTAAGCAACCAAATCAAACCATATCCAAAAACATACATTAAGTAAGATTAACTAATTTTGTTTGTATTATTTTTAGGGAAAGAGTCATAAGGTTACTCACAATCACCAATAAATAAATACCATATATATGTATCAATTCTAGTGTAATCACAAATTATTAGTAGGATAAATGCATACTGTATATTTGTATAAGTATACATGTTTACATATGCATACACGTATGCATATATAGGTATATATACATGTATGTCTATTTGTATATGCATTTATTTATAGATGCATATTTGTGTATGTGTGTGTTTATATAAGGAAAATATAATACGTACTTAGAAGTTGGCAGTCACCACTAGCCCACACAGTATTTTAATGCAAATTAGGGAAAAACTCTTTCCTTTATGCAGATGGACCACAGCTTGTAGAGAGAAGCAGGGGTTAGTTTACATTCCCCATTCAAACCCTCAGCCAGATGGCCCTGTTAATGATATTATCCATGGAATAACATTAGAGCAGAAAACTAATATAGTACTTCAAATCCCAAAAGAAGGGGGATTTCTTAATATCAAGAAACTGATGAAAGTAATTAGTTAAAATTGGAACCCTAGCAAGAACTAAGTAGATATGTTTTAAAGCAGAAGTCACAAAAAACACACACCTAAGCAAGTAGCATCATGGAGTCATGTGGGAGCAGGGGGGTGCATGTGCACACAGTGGGGGAAGGGGGGGACAGTGGCCAGTGCTAAACACATGCTCAGTCAAATGGGGCAGCAGCTTTTCAGCTCAAGCCCATTATTCCTATGTGGGAATTCCAGCCCACTGTTGGCCAGACCACTGTATCTGAGAGTGGATGTTCACATACCAAACCAACCCAAACCTGTTGCCATCAAGTCTATTCTGACTCATAGCGACCCTAGAGGGCAGAGTAAAACTGCCTCATAGGGTTTCCAAGGAGCACCTGGTGGATTTGAACTGCCGACCTTTTGGTTAGCAGCCTGAACTCTTAACCACTTCACCACCAGGGCTCAAATTACAAGTACATTTATCAGTTAGTTAGTTAGTGTGCTCCTGGTGGCATAGCAGTTAAGTGCTGTGAGCTGGAATCGACTCAGTGGCAACAGGTTTGTTTTGTTTTTGTGGACTGTGTGCTAGAAGTAAAATGTCCCCATTTCAAAATGCTGTTTTTGTTATCTTTTTTTAACAATGTAGGTCAAAAATATGTGAGTGTTATAGACCACCAGGTATTTGCATGTTTTATGGGTTTTGGACTTCTTTTTTGGAGTTTTTTGGGGAAAATTATTTAGGAAAAACAAAAAAATACCAAGCAGTGAAAAAAGAGTCTGGTTAGATTCTGGCATAAAATTTATGCTTTTCCCTTAAACAAAAACAATCAGACGATTTACATCTCTAGAACTCACAAATACACTTTAGTTTTTGCTCATGGTGTTTTCTTGGTTTAGGAAATCCTTTACCCTTCATGGTTGAAATCTATCCTGTGGTATGTATTCAAAGCAACTTGCCCACTGCACTTAATCAAAGGTAATCTCTCTTGCTTTGTGATTCAAATGTTCTCCATAGCGCTACTAAAGCATATTATTTTTATACACCTACTCCTCACTTATTGCCTATCTTGTTTTTCAACATTTCAAATTTAAGACAACAGTAAGAAATGTACTGTCTAAATGTTTTGCACATTAATGACATATGTCTGGCAGTCACGAACGCTGAGGTGCAAGGCAAAAGTAACGCTGGTTCTGATGGTTATGTGTCAGACTTGGCTGGGCCATGATTCTCAGTGGTTTGCCAGTTATATAATGCTGTAATCTGGCACTCATGTAATGATGCAGTCATCCTCCATTCTGTGATCTGATGTGGTCATTCTCCATTTTCACATAATGTTGATTTTCACCTAACGACCTGGTCTTTGGAACCTAACCATGTCAATAAGTGAGGAGTGGGTATGTAAGGAAAAATATGATATCCTATTAGATCATTAAAGGCACCTAGAAGGCAGTGATTGTTACTTATTTTAGTTATTTCCGATAATTTTGTACATTGTTGTTGTTGTTAGGTGCCATCAAGTCAGTTCTGACTCATAGCAACCCTATGGGACAGAGGAGAACTGCCCCAGAGGGTTTCTAAGGAGCAGCTGGCAGATTTGAACTGCTGACCTTACACAGTGGTTATCTAATAAGGTTTGCTGAATTCTAATACATCTGCTTAATAACATAAACAGCTACTCTTACTGATTGCCTATTATGATCCAAATTTCACATATGCTTTCTCATTTAACAAGTTTATTCTTTTGAGTAGGTAATATTTGTCATAATAAAAAATACTTAAAAAAGTAAGTCTCTGTCCACATACCTCAGTTACCTAGGTGTCCTCCCCATTGGTAATCTCTATTACCAGTTTGTTGTGTATCATTGGAGCCCTGGTGGCACAGTGGTTAAGCTCTCGGCTGCTAACCAAAAGGTCGGCGGTTTGAACCCACCAGCTGCTCCATGGGAGAAAGATATAGCAGTCTGCTTCTGTTAACAATTACAGCCTTAGAAACCCTATGGGGCAGTTCTACTCTGTACCATAGGGACATTAGGAGTCGGAATCAACTCAAAGGCAATGAGTTTTTGTGTAGCATTATGTCGATGGTCTATAAATATCGTGCATTTACACAAATGGAAGCATTCTAAACATAATGACCTGCGCTTTCCTTTTTCACAATTAACAATTTATCTTGAAGATCATCCCTTATTAGAGATGTAGGTAACATATATTATCGTGCTGCACAGTAATCCAGCGAATGGAAATAACAATTTATTTCATCAGTCCATTGCAGAATAGTCATTCACATTGTTTTCAATCTTTTGCTTACATAAAAAACTGTGTAATGAATCAACTTGTATATTTGTGATTTTATACACATGCATACATGATAGGATAAATGCATGGAAATGGGATTACTGAATCATTTTTTATGTGAATTTTGATAGATCTTGCTACATTGTTCTCTGAGAGGTTGCTTCTCCATAGCAAAGTAGAAATGTGCTTGCTTCTCCATTCTGTTACCAGCACAGTCTCATCAAACTTTTTATACTGGGTCAATGAGTTAAGTGAAATACAGTTATTTTCGCTTTCTTTTTTACACATCCATTGATTACACATCATAGAGTTTTGGTTTATGTTATCTTCTCCTAAAGAAGATTCAGGTTTTTTCTTCCAGGAAGACAGCAGGTCACCTAGATTCTGTCAAGGCGTGGCATTTTGGTTTGTTAGACTGGGAGCTATTTTGCTTTTGCCCTTGATTTTAAGTGTTGCCCGTACTCCTAAGGCGTGGTCCTACTCCTCAGGCATAGTCTTTCTGGGGTCTCAACTGTGTGCCGGGGGTGTTCATCACACTCCCTGCACTCTGGCAGGGCTAGAACTTCAATGTTTCTCCAGCTCTGAAACTAAGAATCTGTTTAGTTCTTTGCTTCCAATTAGCTGTTCTCTGCTAGGTCTCCCAGACTATCACCATGTGAATGGTTAAATAATCAGCTGCTAACCAAAACGCTGGCCGTTTGAACCCACCCAGTTGCTTCACAGGGAGAAAGACCTGGTGATGTGCTCTAGTGAGGATTATAGCCTAGAAAACACTATGGGGCAGTTCTACTCTGTCATGTGGGGTCCCTATGAGTCAAAATCGACTGGAGGGCCCTAACAACAACATGTATAGTTTAGGTGCAGCCAGGACCCAAATGGTATTTTTATGTAAAATGTTTGGATTCTTTTCTCTGTAGCTGTCTCCTTCTAGTATCCTGCTTTCCAAATCACAGCTACTTTACCAGCCCCAAACCTGGATCTCTATTTCCTCTGCCCAACAAGACTAAAGGTCTCTGCTTGGGCTCTTTATCCCAGATTATGGAACTTACCCTCTAAATCCCTTTGCTTCTCTCAAGGATTACAGCCCTACACTGGTTGTTGCCCAGAGCCTACGAGCAGTTGTTGCACATATTCTGTCCAACTTTTAGTTGTTTTCTGTGGCAGCTAAGTCTGATACCACCTGTTTCATCATGGCCACGATGAGAACTTCACCAGTCACAAGTTTTTTTGTTTCTTTTTTAAATTGTGATAAAATATATATGTTAATAATGTTGCCATTTATCTGTCATGTGATTGCTTCATGACAATGGAGTTTAATGAGAAATCAGATTTGACTGACAGCATCTTTATTATACAGAAATCTTTTAGTAAATAGAGTTAATACTTTGACCACACCATTAAAATTTTATTCTTGATTTTGGATTATATAATCTGTGAATGATACCACAAATTACTGTACTATCTGAAGGTGGTTCTACACTTCTATAATGATATGGACAATTTAAACACACAAAAATCTCACTTGTTCTGTATTTTCTTTGTTTGTTTTATTTTCCTCATCCTCTTCTTCCTCAGGTTCCACTGGAGCAGGAGTCAGTGATGCCACAAAATGCCACAGAATATCATGGAGAGAAGTTGTTTGGATAACATTACACAGAAGCCAGTTGAAAGCCTGAATAAATGATGGTTAAAAGAGATCAAAATGAAAAGAAAATATATCATATAAATAAAAAACATAGGGCCTCTCTTACTCAGACACAAAGTCAATCCATGTATTAGGAGTTTCAGGAAAGATACTGGGGAAATTTGACCTTAACTTCAATGAAAGCATGCTGAACTTGAAATAGTCAATAATTTTGGTATTAATTAAAATAATAATAATAGGGAAAACAATATTTCTGAAATGTGATAACAAAATACTTTTTTCAAACCCACTTTTTATTTAGAAATTTCTTAGTATTAATTTACTCAAGTATATTTTCTGCCAATTTGTACTTAGTGTCAACAAAGAATACTTTTTAAGCTCTATACAAGCTACCACTGATTTAAATATGTTTGTATTGTTCATGTCCAAATGAAATGACAAGTTATTTATCTCATACATAAATAAGAAGAAAGATTTACTATCTGTAGACCTGTGGTATGCAGGAATTCTGCCATTTCCAGAGGCTGGAAGCTCAGGCCAAACTTATTATTGGTAAGTTTATAACTCAAAAGCCCTACTTCTCATCCCCTTTGCATGATTATTCTACTAAACTAAAAGTACATTCTAAATGCAGAAAGCTCAGAATTCAAATAATAAAGCAACACAAAAATAAATTTCTTTAGAATGCTTAAATATGGAATTCTAAATTCATTTATATCCATAAACTTAGAGTTTAATTTTGAAATTTTTATGCCAACACTTGATATTTGCCACTGATTAATGCCTCTTAATGTGCCACAACTTTTGTTTGGTAGAAAAGAGGCAACATTAAATAGAATCATTACATAATTGGATTAATCAATGAATCAACAATTCTATTAATGTATACATACCTCCATAGCAAAAACTCGACAAGCAGATTTCCTTAAGGCCTGTTTCATTGCTATTTCAAGACCTTCTAGATCATGATGCTGTATAACAAAAGCTAAAACTGGCCATTGGAAATTTCGTTCTCCTTTGGAAAGAGAGCTGTGGGCTGAGATTAGTCGGGAAAGCTCAGGAGATGGATGTCTCAAAAGAGAAGAACCAACTTCTATTTAAAAGAAAGAAAATTATTAATTTCCATAAACAGTGTATAAGACTAATACATTTAAGATATAGAAATGAAATCTTCATTTTGCAACTTTATTATAAAAGTAATAGTATCTAGCTTATTTATTTTAAAGCCTTTTTTTTTTTTGCACTTGACATAAATCACAATTATTTCAAATTTTACTGAGGAAGAAAGTGAGGCTAAGAAAGATTAAATACTTTACTTTCCAGAAGTCACACAGCTGTTAAGTTGTAGAGGTGGGTTTTGAATCCAGGACTGAATCCAAAGTTCCTATTTTCTAAAACACTCCAAAAGCTAAGTGACTTATTTTCTCCTTAAATGGAATCTACAACTGATTGCCATCATTTTCTGGACCGCTTTACAACAAAGGCATCTCTATTATAATAGGAGCTCAAAAATATTTGTTGAATGATCCCATAAACTGTTGAGGGATGCTTAATAATATCTTTCTTGAAGGTCTGCAAAAGTACATAACCATCTTCCGATAATTTTTAGGCCAAATCTTCATTTTAGTAAGTGGTCTATGTGATAAATCATCATCATACTATTCTCTTGGGTTTCTTTATTTTTGAGGTAGAATTCCCCAGCTCCAACTTAGAGTTACTGAAGTCAATTAGTTCAGATTACCTAACTTTTTTACTGTTTAAGAGCTACTCATCTCCCCAAAGTTCTATCTATTTAGAGTGATGTCAGCAGCCAGAGTTACAGGCTTCTACAGGGGATGGGAAGATAACTGAGAACGTATAAGCCACTTGAACTGCTGGTTCATTGACACTTAGTGGAAGGAACAATGTTAGCTATCTACCAGGTGAGATTTTAAAGGTCAATAGATATCCTTGCAGAATCACTAGAGGATCTCTGGATATCTCTTCCAACCATGATGAAAATTTAGAAAGACACATTTATGGGTGTATCATATAGAAATAATGCCTCTCACAATTTAAGGATTAATCCATTTATTCTTCAAAAATTAGACTTTAAACACATCTGTAAATGTAACCATTTTCTAACTTTCTTTTTAGTAGATGAATCACTCAGTCTTCCATTTTATTTTTACACTTACCAGTGTCTCCACTGTTAACTCTTCTTCTAGGAATGGCCTTAACTCGTGCAGGTAAAATGGAGTGTTGTTTATCATATTCAGAAGCAACAACGGAGTATGATCTTTGGAAGACAGTTCTCTTTGCCAGATCAGTATCAGTTATAGGACTAGTTTCCAAGCTACCGACAGAACAAGAATGATAGATAAAAACTTGGGAGAAAAAAACTGAAAGAAGTGCACTGCATTTATTTTATAATAGTATAGTCAAATATGTAAATCTATATCTCATGTGGAAAAACAGAAACGCAAAACCGACTTGGCAATTTCTCCTTAAATATGAACTTGATCTTTTCAAATGCAGTAAAATTTTCATTGATTTCAGAACTATATTAACATTTTTGGTTTTCTTAAATATATTTTACTTTTTAAATGGAAAAGAAATAAATGCATCAAGTGTTCTAAGTTCCTTTTAGAATAAAAAGCACATAGTGGTAGAATGTATGTGTCAAGGTGTTAAGCAAAAACAGGAACCTATTCATAAATGTACTGAAGAGAAAGAAAATGGATAGGTATATACCAAAAAAAAAAAAAAACCAGAAAATAAAAAATAGTTGCTGTCAAGTCGTTTTCGACTCATGGTGACCCCATGTGTATCAGGGTTTCAATGGCTGATTTTTCGGAAGTAGATAGCCAAGACTTTTCCAAGGCACCTCTGGGTAGACTCGAACTGCCAACCTTTTGTTCAGCAGTTGAACACATTAACCACTTACACCACCCAGGGACTCCACCTAGAGGCTTTATTGTTGTTAGGTGCTGTTGAGTTGATTTTTGACTCATAGCGACCCCAAGTGACAGAGTACAACTGCCCCACAGGGCTTTCTAGGCAGTAATGTTTATGAGAGGAGCCCTGGTGGTGCAATGGTTAAGCACTTGGCTGCTAACCAAAAGGTCAGCAGTTCGAACCCACCAGCTACTTCTCGGGAGAAAAGACCTGGTGATCTGCTCTCATAATGATTTCAGCCTAGGAAACCGTATGGGGCAATTCTACTCTGTCCTATAGGGTAGCTATGAGTCGGAATTGACTTGATGGCACCCAACAACAACAATAATTTTTATAGGAGCAGATCACCAGGTCTTTTTCCTGCGGAGCCACTGGGTGGGTTCAAACCTGACAACCTTTTGGTTAGCAGCCGAGTGCTTAACAAGGCTAGTTAAGGAGAAATCCTCTTAAAGTGACCTCTGGGAGGCAAGGTTCTACCTAGTTCAAGAACACAAGTAGGTTAGAGTTCCAGAGAATGCAGCTCTTGGTATTTAGGAGCAAAGAGGCTAAATCTGTATTTTCAAATATTCAGTCCTATTTTATATAGCTTCTTCCTCATAGAGCTAACTGTTGTGTGTGATTTGTATGAGAATCCTCTTCCTTGGGAAGAAACAGTACACTTGATCACCATCTTTAGAAGGATAAACCGTGACCAAGTGACTAGGCATAACCAAAGAGAAAAGGATGAAGTAATATGTTGCTTACCCCTCTTATTTGCCTCTGAGTAAAAGGAGTCTTTACAGTTGTACCGGGTGAGTTTGGAGCCAATTAAGTTCTCAATACTAAATCAGGTGGATGTTAATGGAAGGGTTTCTTAACCTATACTCCCTAGACTCATGTGGATGGGCTTTTCAGAAGTAGATTGCCAAGCCTCTCCTCCTAGTCTGTCTTAGTCTGGAAACTCTGTTGAAACCTGTTCAGCATCATAACAATACACTAGCTTCCACTGATAGATGGGTGGTGGCTGCAGCTGAAGTGCAGTGGCTGGGAATCAAACCCGAGTCTTCTGCATGGAAAGTGAGAATTCTACCACTGAACTACCATTGCCCACGTTTACTACTATATAATATTAACACAGAGGCTTATCCTAATAGGCACATTCTATCTTCCTTTAGCAAATGTTCTCTCCAATGATGTCATTTACACAAATATTTAGGCCTGAAATCTTGATACCATCTTAAACTTATCCTTCTCATTATCCAGTTAGTCAAAAAGTCAAATTGATTTTTTTCCCTACAAAGTATCTCCTTTATCTACATCTTTCTTTACAACCATTGCCAACATAATCTATAATTTCACACACCTAGCTGAAATCTTTGACTGAGTTTATCAGCTTCTCAATAGACACTGGCAGACTATTTGTATTTTTATTATGCCATTCTTCTAAAAAGTCTTAGTGGTTCCCTATTTTCTTCTACATTATATTTACAAGGTTGCGTTCAGTTTTTAAGGAGCTCTTTATTCTGATACCACCATGCCTAAGTGGGAGGCACTGTAAGCAATAATTCTTGTAGTCCAAGATTTATTTTCAGTCTCACTTCTCCTGTAAAACCTTTTCAAAGCACTGCCTAAAAGTGATTTTGCCATACTCTGATTTACCACAGCACTAAATGATATAATATCTTACAGTGAAACTTTTATTACTTCATCAGTTAATCTTTTCTCTCCAACTGGACTCTCTACCATCAAGGACCTTACATTATTCATCTATGTATGCTTTTTCTTACTGCTCCAACAGTTAGCACAACTGACTCAATGTCCTCCCTGAGACAGAAGGATGTAAAAGAGAACTTCTAGAGCATTCTTTTCTAGTTCAAAAAGTTTTTCTTTCACCAAACACTGGCCATTCAACAAAGAGGAGAGAACTAAAATACCTTGGAGGCATAGACTTCATATTACTCTCTGGCTCTTCAAATACATTAGGACTTGCATCAGGCGTTACTGATATGTATGGGGCAGGAACGGATGTTGAACGGAGATACCTCATTTCATCCTGGAAGAGGTTGTCATCTTGATAGCCCACTAAATTTTCATGATGATGCCTGCATTAAATCAAACCCAGTAATTTAAAGTATGATGGCAATACAGATCTTCTCCATTTTTAATCTCTTTTGTAAAAATAAAACCAGCATATGTAAATCTATAATTAAAGGTAAAGTATTACATAATCATAGATGTAGGTAGGTAGAAATAGAAGGCTGATAATTTTACACATAGATGTTCCAGATAACACAAATATTTCAAATTCAAAACTAAACTCATCTTCTTCTTCTGAGAATCGTTCCATCTTCCAGTTATTTTGCTGAGTCATCTCACCAGTTAACAGAGTGCTAAAACTAAGATCCCTCAGCGTTGGAGTAGGCTTAGCTCTCAACCATCACTAGTCACTCAGGCCTGTGAATACTAGGTTTCCTCTCAGAACCACTCTCTCCTCTCATTCCCTATCGTCACTGCCTTGATTAAGCTGCATATGATGTCTTGTCTGGACTACTGAAATACAGGCAGTCACCTATTTTTGTAGGAACATATATGAGTCAAGGGTGAAAAAGATTAGACTTATGAAATGTTCCATGGGTGAGGGGAAATGCCCGTTCATAGAGAGGTAAAAAATACAAAATCACTAACCATGCTCTGTCTGCATTTTTCAATATGTTTCATAATTTGGTTCTTTCCTTTTCAAACTGGCCTTTGCCAACCTAAGTCCACTGAGTGGTCTGATTAAAGCTAAAGATGTGTTGCATCTGGCACACCTGATGTTCTCCACCTCAGTCTCAAATGTATACAGTTTCACATTTTCATTTTTGGTTCCCATTCATTTTACCGAAATAGTAAGTATAAAATTTAAAAAACTATACAACTCTGCTATACAAAGAGGGTAGCAGTATTGGCTGGCAAGCCATGTGTTACGATTTGAATTGTGCCCCCCAAAAGATACGTGTTATAAATCCTAACCTCTATACCTGTGGTTATAATCCCATTTGGGAATGGGTTTCTTTGTTATGTTAATGAAGCAGTATTTAGTGTAGAGTGTGTTTTAAGTCAATCTCTTTCCAGATATAAAAGCGATTAAACAAGTAAGGGAGCAAGCAGAAACGGGAAGAGAGATGCCAAGTCATATGAAGACTGCCCAGGAGCAGAAGCTCAGAAGAGACAAAGACCTTCCTCCAGAGCCCACAGAGAGAGCCAGTGCCTGCAATTTGGACTTCCAGCCTCCTGTGAGGAAATTTGTTAAAGCCAACCACTTAATGGTATTTCGGAGCTCTGGTAGCACAGCGGTTAAGCACTCAGCTGCTAAACAAAAGGTCAGCAGTTTGAATCCACCAGCTGCTCCTTGGAAACCCTATGAGGCAGTTCTACGCTGTCCTGTACTGTC